CACTTGTGTCCTGTATGTTGCCCTGTTGCAAGCTCTTGTGTTGTTCCCATTGCTCTCCTGGTAACCGACTCGGCTTGGACAAGACTACTCTCTGCGTTAACCCTTTACCTGACCTTCCGTTGCTGAACCCGGCCCGTGACCTGAGTATTCTTTGCCTACCGTCTAGTACTGTCTGCTCCGTTGTTATTGACCCGGCTTGTCTGACTACTCTACTCGTGTTCCCATCTAGCTCCCACCAGCTGTACGCCATTGGCGGCAGTCGTTATCGCAGCTGGGGTCACTCGGGGGCCGCGACCTGGTCTCAGGCTGCGTCAAGTCCATCCCCACCATCAGGGGCCCTGGTGAAGGGTAGTCTGGGGCTTAGACTCCGCGCCCTGAGGGGCTCTGGTCTGTGGGTAGTGGCTGTCGTCAGTCGCAGCGTGACCGTACCATAGGCCTGCCTGCCCATTCCAGCGTTCCTGCCCTGACAGTAACTAAGATATATATATAAATATTCAGAGACCAACAGCACAGCAAAGAGATATCAGAGAGAGGTGAAAGGGTTAAGGTACTTGCCAAAGTCCTGGGTTAGCAGATCCAAGTTTCAGAGCAAAAGGGCACGGGTCTCCCCAGGTGGTACTGATGTTAAAATGGGAGACGTCTTCAACTTACTCTTCATAGGCCGGACAGCCTAATTTGTAGTTCCCCAGCAGGGGGTGTCTCTGAATTCAAGGACCAATACCCCATTTAGGGCATGGAGGTCTGGGCGTGGACCTAAACTAGAGCCAAAATCTTGTGTAGTTCATATTTTGGCTCATAACTTTTCCTATGCACAAGTGACATTCCACCCGCGGGTAGATTATTATGCAGACACATCTGAGGATTGATTAGATATGAATTATGAAATTATACACTGAACAGTTCATGAGATCTATTTTTCGGCTTTCCTATGTATTCGAGACAAGGCGAGTGACCTATCAAATTGTTTGTCTTCTCTTAGCAAATCTGACGATATGTCTGGTTTTTATGTAAGTCTCTCATATTCCAAGATATGAGACATAGGGGAAAAATGGATTTTTAAAAGTGTTAGCTGGCCCCGCCTTCCTTGGAATGTCTTGAACTCCTAGGAAAGCTTGCCTTATCTTATACAAGGTGTTATATTTTACAGGTTCTTCTGACAGCTAGGCCCCAGCTCCCTTGGGGACTTTATAGCTCCTAGCCCCCTGCTTGGCCTTGGCCTCCTGTGACACTCCTAACACACATACACACTGGCCAAATGTCACTGTGACTCTCAGAAAGGGAGGGGGAGAATGAGGGGGAAATATATTTGTTAGGATGTTAACCCTTTTGCCAAGATGGGGGTTCTTAACAAAATGGAGGACTGCGTCGGTTTCTGGGTATACGCTGTTACAAGGGGGTCTCTGCTCACCAAAGCCCCCCTACATTAGAGTCCACACAGCACTCCTTACATTAGAGAAAGAGGCAGAAGAGAGAAGGTGGGGACAATTAAGTCACTCACCCCAGGAAGGAAGGAGGCTCATGCAGTCTGCATAGCCTCCAGATCTAGTTGCTGGCTGCTGTTCTTGTCTCGCCCACTCATCCCATTTCTGAGTACAGTGTTGTCGGGGGATTAGAGTGTGGGTGGGGCTGTGGGCACACACAGGAGGAGGGAGAAGTAGATCCAGCTCTATTTCTCTTCTCTCCTATTCATGTGAGGTGCGGGGGGAGGCTGTAAGTGCTGTGGCTGGGTAGTGTAAGAGAGTGTAACAGACACTCTCCTTACAACTTCAGCCAGCCACCCTGCTGTGGAGCCACATTACAGGCTCTTGCCCCCCCCCACAGTGGTGAAACTCCAGGGCCCAGTCACAAGTGCAACCTTTGTGACCCTGGTAGTTTCGCCACTGCTCACGATTACTATTTTGGCAAAGCAGCAACATAACCTATAGCTGACAAACACAAGAATAGAAAAAAGTAGTCCTAAAAAGGACTGTTAGGTCGAAGTACAGCAAATACAGATGGGCTTATAATCCACTTTCCCTAGACACAAAAACTGCAATTCACTGCATAATATCAGTAGCAAATATATATCACGAATATAATGATGGTTTTGACAATGCATTATAGAACATTTGGTGAAGCAATTCTCTCCGATGTCCCAAAGATTTGAATTTCAGCTAAGCCTCAGAACAGCAAATGTTTGGTCCAGGGGCAGACTGACCATTTGGAAACTCGGGCACTGTCCGAGGGCCTGGGGTCAGTAGGGGGCCCCATGAAATGCCCCTGGTACCTTTTTCATAGGCTTTTTTGAGTTTGGGCAAGGACACAGGGGCCCCATGATCCCCTATTGCCCGGGGGCCCCATGAGTTTGTCAGTCCGCCCCTGGTTTTGTCTGAACAAATATGCAAAATCAACACTTAGCTTATCCCTATTAAGCTCCAGTGCTGCATGGTTAGCACATTATATCTGTGTTGAAAACTGCTGTGTGTCATTTGGGGCTCACCTATAGCATTTATTTCATATTAGGACAGGCATGCTTTTGGCTTTTGCCTATGGTTACAACTTTGTGTTAGAAAAATAGAGTAGAAAATGAAGGCACACAATGCTTTTAGTCACACAGTCCATCCAGTTATAAAGGTGGTTTGTCATTTCTTTTGTCCCTTACTGACAAGTTGGTGAAATAGTTATTTAAAAGATCAAAGTAGACAACTTAGTGTCTGTACTATTTTCCTTAAAGGAAGAATAAGACTGGCCAGGGGAGGAAGAGCGCGCTGGGTCAGTGTCCACAGTCAGTCCCCCACAGACCATGCCTGAAGTGGGGGACCACAAGTATGTAGAAAGAGAGGAGCCACTTCCCTATGCTTACTGTGAGATTGATTGCAGTTAGGAGACAGTGTTTGACCCAAGAAGGGTTGAAGGCATGGGCCAGCACAGCAAAGTCAGGGAGAGAATGAGGAAAATGATGAACTGGGTGCCTAAAGACAACAGGTTCCCAATGAAGCAGCCATCAATTAGCAAGCCATTCTCATCTTTAATTTCCCTGTCACTACAGGATGCCCTCAGTGGCAGGGCGCACTTGACCACAGATATATGTTCAAGTAATGCATGGGCAAGGATGGTGCATAATTTTTACATCACATTGGGTAAATCTATTGCTGGCTGGGTAACAAGCTATAAAGGGTTCAACTATTGAATCTGTGGTATTGTCATCAGTGACATCCCTTTTAAGATATTAACAACCCCATTTGGACCTTCCAAGTGCCACAGAGCATACAGCTCTGTGAATGCCATGCAGTGCCTAATCACTTCAAGGCAGAACTGTTTCATTCTCTTCCTGCCCATGGCATTTTTCAGTTTTCAGTACTGTCACACGTTGAATGATTACTCATTACTCAGTCACTCAACTCTGTACCCATATTATTTTTTTTCTAGAGATTTCTTCTGGTGGTATTTTACTATCACTGAATTTTTTCCTATGTAAAGAAAAGAAGACCACATTTTAAAAAATATATTTTTTTCTTAGTTTTTGTTATAAATTATGCAAATAAATTATTGTTCTTGAATTTGGGCCAAAATGTTTTTGTCTGTTACATTCTGCTAAAAATAACCCAAGTCAGAGCACAATATTTAGCCTGTGTGAAAGTAACAGAGTGTACAAAGTATGATATATATATATATATATATATATATATATATATATATATATATATACTCTATATATGATGATACTGACTAGCTAACTCTTTTCTTGAGGCATAAAGTACCAGGACAGTACACATATGCCCAAAAGACCCCTTTTTTAGAAAGCAGAAAGTCTACTGTATTTATTAAAAGGCATGGCAAGTTTTTTTGAGTTGTAACTTTTTGCCAATTTTTGGGGGGAAAATGAAGAAATTAACTAACATTTGTTTTTTTATTTTTAAGTTTAAAAAACAATTTTTCACACACAGCATAGGCATACCTACACTTACACCCCAAAACACATCCTGTGTGGGGATATCACATGTGTGGGACTTTTTCACAGCCTTGATGAAAAGAGGGGCCCCAAATCCAAAGAGCCCAAAGGTTCTTGGGCATCTAATTTCTTGACTTCCTATCATATTTCTTGCGTCCCTGAAGTGCCAAGAAAGGGTAAAGACAAAATGTCCACATTTTGAAAAGCAAACACTCCAATGTATTTTCTAAAAGGCATAGTAAGGCTTTTTAACTGTCATTTTTTGACACAAGTTTTTGGAAAATGCAGGAAAAAAAAAAATGAAAATTTTTTTTACACAAAGTTGTCAATAATTAAGAAATTTCTAACATACATCAAAGGCATACTTAGAATTACACCTCAAAACACATTTTGCTATGGAAACACCATATATGCAAGACTTTTTTACAGCCTAGATGCATAAAGGGGCCCAAAACCCAAAGAGCACCATTGGGCATTCCAGGGCCATAAATTATACATCTAATTTCCTGACTACCTATCACATTTTTGGAGGCCCTGGAGCACCAGGACAGTGAAAGCCACAAAAGTAAAACATTTTGGAAACAAAAAACTGAGGTATTTTCTAAGAAGCATGTTGAGTCTTAGTTAAAGACTTCATTTTACCACACGTTTTTGGAAGGTGTGGAAAGAAAATTAAAATTAATTTTTCAGGTGTAAATTTAATAAAATATTTCTCAAACACAGCAAGGGCATACATATAATTAAAACCCAAAACACACTCTACTACTCCTCCTGAGTATGGTGAACCCACATTTGTGAGACTGTTTCACTGCATGGACCGATTATGTGTGACATTGTATTTTGTGTGTCACACAAATCAACAAATTGTGTCAAAACCAATGTATTGCAATGGTAGCCTTTATATGAGTGGTCAGGGAATATAGATTAGTGTAGCATCACCTATATCAGTCCCTGTTCCTATAACTCAAGCAAGCCTAACCTACTGAAACTGCCTCCAAGAATGCCATTTTCAATGGCCAGGATGTACAGGAAGCTGATGAAAGAAAGAACAAAGGAGTTCCTGTGGTCTGGTGTCACTGGGACTGATGTGGTGGTGGTCAGGAAAACTGGTGCTGGATGCAATGGTCTGGTATAGTGGTAATCAGGAACACTGATTCTAGCTACCAGGGGTGGACTGAAAAATCATGAGGCCCCCAGGAAATAAGGGATCATGGGGCCCCTATGTCCTTGCCCACACTCAAAAAAAGCCTATAAAAGGTACCAGGGGCATTTCATGGGGCCCCCTACTGACCCCAGGCCCTCGGGCAGTGCACGAGTGTTTGAATGGTCAGTCCGCCCCTGCTAGCTACACTGGTCTGGCGATATTGTGACTGCTGTGGTGGTGATTGGAGACACTGACTGGCTGAAGGCAAAAACTTGTGTTTGAGCAGCTGTTTTACTGCCCCTCAACCACTACCCCCTTTAGCTTCAGAGGCAGCAGGCAAGGGTATACACACGCTGCAGCTGTGATACTTTGCTTCATAGCTGTGGCAGGAATTATATCCCCTGATATGTGTGTAAGTATGTTTCTCTGGGAAAATGGCCAAATTACATAAACATACTGTACATATTTACATCTATTTTAACAACATAGTCTCTCTGTAGATGCTTGATCAGCCAAAATAGATATCTCTTGAAGAATGGAATGCTGCTTCACGAAAGGCATCGTGATTTATGGTGTGGCTTGATCATCTTCCTCCTTGTGTATTTATGCTGTCTTATGGTACTTTAAGATTGTGAATTGCTGATTTAGATATTATTGGAAATATGAGTTTTTATATTACATGTGTTGAACAATAACATTTATATGTGTTTTATTGAATTATCCTTTTCTAAATGGTGTATCTCTTTCAAAGTCCCATGGGCAGGAAATCCTTATTTGAGTTATAGCAGATGTTAAGACAAGTAGACATATGTACTGCTAAAATGTTGACTGTAAAGTCAATCAGATGGTGGAAATTCTGCAATATAACCCATAGAAATATGGGGCCAAGATCATTCTGGAACTTAGTAGGAGTTATAATCTAAGAAGGAGAGTGCAGGGAAATGTTATATGGATGCTACCTGGAGTGAGGCGAGATAGTTGGTAGTGTGAGTCATTCAGGGTCCTCATCATAGTACATTCTAAATAGTGTGTAGACCTGGAGACGGTTTTATTTATTCAGGCTTTGTGAGCTACACTATAGAGTTGACAAGCATGGGAAATGGTAAGGGTAACGGAATATATATCTAGTATATGGGGCTGGTCCTATACATTAAAGACTAAACTTTTAATTTGTCTGATTAATTTTCTCCTCTAATGTGAGATAGGAATGGATTAATTCTATCCATTGTACTGTGGTTCAATACTATCAAATCAAATTGTTTCCTCTGTTGTAAGAGAAGAATCCCCTATTTACATTAGTTTACCTGAATTAGAGTTTAAATTGTGCTGAAATAACATTAAACTAAAACTGTGCAGCTTATCATAATAAGCTTAACCTAGCCTTTTTCTAACAGAATTATATAAAGCCTGGAGAAGGAATATAATTTATCCCAAAAGTTTACATCTTCACTAGTATAAGTTAGCCAATAAAGAGTAACACTTAATTAAACACAAATCCAAACTTTCTGATGGTATCTTTCAAAAAAAAAGTTTATTACGTATGAATGTGAGTTAGGGACCTTAGATTGTACACCCCTTGAGGGTTAGGGACTGATGTGAATGTTCAATATATATGTGTGAAGTGCTGCGTAAATTGACGGCACTATATAAGCACCTGAAATAAATAAATAAATAAATATTACAGTGTAACTAAAGGCAAATGTTTTTGTTTTAGTTTGCGGTAGAATGGAGTCTGTGCCCCTGTTAGGGAGATTTACCTGTATTTCTCAATATCATCAAACATGGAAGTAATAGAAAATCCCAAATTTTGGGTTGACATAAGAAGAGGAATATAGGGGAAATCTTCCAATGGAGACATTGATGTTGCTGACCTTAATATTGCACCTTGATTACCTTGTCGTTAGGTTTAGATACAAAATGTTGTCACTGAAAACACAATACCATGAGTGTGAATAATCAGGAAAAGGACAATTTCTACTCTTTACCTGTATAACATGCTGATTTTCAATTAATTTTACCCAGAGCTATGTAGAGGAAACTCATGTTTTTTCATGCAGGCAGTTTTTTTTGTCTGGTCCTGATCTCATCGGTTATGGCACGTGTGAGTGGCTAAACACAGCTCCATTTTTAATTCTTGTATACATGCCTAAGAGTCAAAGAATCCCCAAAGTGAAACTTTAACTCATGTCTCATGTTTCTCAATAGACATCTACCTGACAAGTCTATCTAACTAGAAGGAATGCACTCCCTGTGAATTTATTTCAGCAGATGTTAATCAGGGCAGCTGACTGAAATGGCCTGATCTAGAAATGTGTATATACAGCACATAACATGCACAATGTGGGTTACAGTCCATATTGCTACTGCTGACATGTCATGGACAATGAGTGAAAAACACACTAAATAGTCTCTATAATTTCCCTTTAATACTTACTTGTAATGTCGGGTGGATTTCTAAATTAAATATTCACATTTATATCCATGAGATGTTTGCTACTACAGATACAATCACCAATTCGGTAAAAGGATCCTTCATTTTCTTATGGTAAAAGGGAATAATCCTTAATTGTGGGAAGTTCTTTGAAATCAACTCTAAGTAATTGTATTGCTCTTAAGCTTTATTGACTGTATTTGATTAACCAATACCATGTCCTGTTATAACTAGTTACACTCACATTGCCTGATTGCTAGCAAAATTCTGGCTGCATATGGTCATCTTTAGCAGTTTGAAAAAACAATTGACTGATTTGATTATCGTACATCAATGCTTTTTGCACTGTGACATAAAGTGATACATACTGTAGCTGCTATTTTGTAAATATAAAACTAAATGCAACATTAAAGTGTATTTTTTTCTTTGTTATGGAAAAAGTAAAAATTTCCTCCCACAATACCAGTAGGTTCTGCTTCTGTGGTACCAAATGATAGATACTGTATTGTTTCCAATTAAATGACTGTGATCCATACTCAAGTCATACCCTTTGGAAGGCCAGTTGAGTAAATATAGGGAAGTGCATCAACAGACATACCTGTTTTGAGAAACGTATAAATATATGTTGTATAAATGTTTCTTTTGATTGGTTTCCCATGTTCTGAGATTTCTAGGAAAGTACATACCTGTAATTAGTAAACTCTCAATAATCCAGCACTGCAACCAAAGCCAAGTGATTTTATAACCTCTACATAAACTAACAATTTTTCAACAATTGTCTCGATTTTATTTAACAAAAAGTTGAAACTAAAATGTGTATTCAGCTGAATATTCCAACGTAGATCTTTAATTACGTGTTATATAATATGTATTGTTTTTTTATTCTCTATTCGCTATTTCAGGTAGCTTTAGTCTCCTTTTTACTTTATGGAAGACTTTCTCAACAATTTTATAAAATTCATAATAATTTATTTCTTTAACTTTCATTTATATAATGTAACTTAAATTCCTTTGCTGAATAGGAGAACAAAATCCCTAATCAGAGAGACAGGTGGTTATCAGCTTTACAAATATCCCTGCCTGTTCTCTTTTGTGTTATCTTTTGTTCTCCAACATGAACTATGACGACTCTGAAATAATTAGCTTGTATTGAGTTACACACATCTGTGCCTCCACACTGGCACATCACAAGGCAAAGCTAACCAATGAATATTACTTGTGAGATTAAGACGCCTACCCCTTCCTCTCTTTTCAGCTTTATAAGAGGCCATGTCCCTGAGTTTCTAAGAAATAATTGGGCTAGAGCATTATCCCATCTGATCCCATCTGATCTCATCTGATAATGAGGCAGATGCCACATTTAACATGATTTATAAAAATGTTTTTGGAGTACCAGCATAGTAAACAATGGTAGTTTCACTCATTGGTGTTATATAGAAATATCAACTTGTTGATAAGACTATGATGGTAGTGTCTTTACCCTATACATAAATACATTTTGTTAAAGGAATTCGTCAAAAAAAATGCAGGTGTCCTAATTTGTCTAGTCTAGCATAATTTTTAATTGAACATTGTCCTCTCACAGATGTGTATTTACTGGAGTAAATGTGCAAGCTTCAGGTTTGTTTTTTGTTAACTGTCAGAACACTTGTTTGTCTGTACCGCTGACTGACCAATGAACAAAAAGTTTATGAAGACACTTATCTTCTCTCTCATTTAAATATATTGAACATATTGTTTTCCAGTTTCCCTTACAATACAATGAAAATAGTCTGTTGTTTACAGTAACTCTGAAGTCTACATGCACAATTAAATGAGCAGTGAATCATTCATCCTGCTCATTTCTCTTCCCTCGGAACACCTCAAAGGAGAGACAGCTTTGCTTGAAAATATAAAACCAGTATAATGCTTTCTCTTTAGCCATGGGGCTCTGGATATCCTTGTCATATATGTAAAACAAATATTGTGTATACAGTATATAGTAAAAACATATATAATTTTAAAGTTTAGAATTTAGAAACATATGGTTAAAGTAAACCTGACACAATTGCAAGCTTCCCTTTAAATGAAGCTAATGGTTTTGTAGGTTAAACCTCAGCTGGGACTTTTTTTTGATTTGCTAAAGCACTGACTGCCATAAATACGGATGAAAGTTTATGATAAAAATAAGGGGTGGCTCTTTAAATCTCCCTGCAAAAAATAAATGTGCACAATTAAATATAATTATATATAAAACATCAATAATTTCACAACAATATATCTGAACATGATTAATCAAATGTTCACATCAAATACAAAATAGTCCCAAATTGCTACTCTCTTGTGAAAAGAAAAGTAATAAAAGTGATCAATTCTTCGTCAAAATGAACCAAATGTGCTCCACTGCATGATCAATTGAAATGCCAACTCACCAAAAGCAGCCAACAGGCAGTATGGATGAAGCCCTGTGTTCAAAGGATTATCTCTTCTTCATAGGATACCAAGCCCAAAGATAAATGAGGAAAAAGCCCCAAAACAGTATAACAGTGCATTAATTTTATTTAAAATTGGGAAAATAAAAATCAAAGATCACTATGCACTCACATGATATAGGTGCCAACACAAACAGCTCAATACTTCAGACTCCTATGTCATATCCGGTCTATGGAACACACAACAGTGTGACGGATTGGACCCCCCTAGTGAGCTGTTTGTGTTGGTGCCCCCTTTGACACCAATATCATGTGAGTGCATATTGGTAATTGCTTTTTACTTTCCCAATTAATAAAAAATACTGCACTATGTTATATTATCTTTGGGCTTATGAGGGTCTTCCATTTATGACATTTATGTGTGGAGTGGTCTTGGTATCCTATGAGAAGAGGTAATACATTGAACAGGACTTCATCCATACTGCCTGTTGGCTGCTTTTGTGGCCGTATTAATTTGGTGAGTTGGCATTTCAGCTGCTCTCATGGTGGAGCACATTTAGTTCATATTGAAGAAGAATTGGTCACTTTTATCACTTTTCCTTTCACAAAATACTAGCGATTTAGGACATAGCCATTTTTTATTCGATGTGGACATTTGATTAACCATGTTCAGATATATTGTTATGTGAAATTATTGATGTTTCATATATAATTATATTTATTTTTGCACATTTATTTTTTGCACAGAGATATAAAGGGCCAGCGCCTTCTTTTTAACATAAACATTATAGATACAAGTGTTGCTTACACTTAAATGGAACAGCTTAAATAATGTAAACCAGCGCTTTGGATGTGATCTCATAATTCCCCACCAGGGGCGGATTGACAACTCATGGGGCCCCCGGGCAATAGGGCCCCTGTGTCCTTGCCCAAACTCAAAAAAAATATATGAAAAAGGTACCAAGGGCATCTCATGGGGCCCCCTACTGACCCCGGGCCCTCAGGCAGTGCCCGAGTTTCCAAATGGTTAGTCTGCCCCTGTTCACCACACCTGCTGTACCAAGTGCTACAGTAATCGTATCAGCCCTTATATACTCTATCTTTTATACAGCTCTTTTGGTTCTTGTTTAAATGTGCAATAAACAAGGATATTCTCTACAGTGCCTAAATCCTCAAATAAGCATTAAACATGATGCAACAAAATGTGCTCTGTGCTTCAATTAAGTCTCTCTGTGCATATAAAGTGCTTTCAGTTATTCACAGTATAATGCACAATGCCTTCAAACATATTAAAGTGTCCATGCTCAAAAAAGTGCTTAATTTCCAACAATCAGTGCCATAGTGTTCTCGAAATCCTCCACCATAAACACAGAACTCTCATCAGATTTATATGACTACCTATCATAGGTGAGTCATACAGCGCTTAGTATCATGGATAACCACCATCAGCCTTCTCCTTTTTGGGTCATTTGCACTCTTTCCTTCTTAAATGTCTCACACAATATGTAGGGAGAGATGAAAGGAGTCTACAATAGTGTGAAATCTTTAAAATCTTTTATTTATTAAAAAACCATTTCCACAATCCCCACTTACATTGTTAGGTGCAAACCCTTGCACTAGGATAAAAACACATGTTACAACATAAGCATAGGGATAACACGGATCTGGTTCTAGGCTCTCTCACCGCCACCTTCTCCTGTATTAACCACTTCCAGTGTCGCTGTGTGGGATGATGTCCCTTCCTGCTATGCCCTTGGCACACCTCACTATGGCACTGATTGTTGGAAATGGAGCACTTTTTTTAGCATGGAAACTTTGACGTTTGAAGGCATTGTGCATTATACTATGAATAACTGAAAGCACTTGGACACTTTATATTCACAGAGAGACTTTATTGAAGCACAAAGGACACTTTTTTGAATCATGTTTAATATTTATTTGAGAATTTGAGCACTGTAGAGAATATACTTGTTTATTGCACATGTTAAACAAAAATTAATAGCGCTGTATAAAAGATTACATCCATTTTGCACAAATTTAAGGTTGGTGGTTTCACATTTAAACTCCAATATATATGGATGAGCTGATCGTACCTGGATTCAGTTTGAAGCAGGTTCGCAGAACATTACTACAGTTCAGGTGCTGAATCCGAACCCACTGAAGTTCATGGGATCCAAATGTTCAAAAACAATATTGGCCCTTACTAGGCTAATGTCACATCTACCCTTAGCATTGATGGTAAGGCACTGCAGCTGGATCTGTGTTCTTCACTTATAGCAGACCATTTTCCCATAAGGCAAACAGGCCTACCAGTATTCAGTTGACCCCAGGTCTTATACACAATGCTATAGTATCTGGCTACCAAGCCGGTGCATACACAAGGTAAGCACAGCAAGCAGGTACTTGTGGTTGACAGACAGGCAGAGTCTTGGTTCAGGGCAGAGAGTAAATAGGGCTTGGTAGGCTTAGAATAGGTTTGGTCTCCATCCAGAAGCTGTGTCTTCAACAATCACCCTGCAGGTGGACAGTCAGACAGGGAGAGTGTACCTCGGCCAAAACCAGGATGCTGGAATGAGACCAGCAGCTGCCATGGAACAGGAATGTTACATGCTCCTGACAGCTAATAGGAAAGGGATTGTCAAACAAATGGCTTGGGGGACTGAGTATTGTCCTAAGGAACATATACCAAAGCAAAATAAAAAAAATACCTTTATCCACTCAGAATTGGCATTCCTGAGCCCTGTATTTTGTATATGTGCACACTCTCTGCTATTCCTCCTGAGTATGGGGACACCACATATGTTAGATTTTTTGCAGCCTAGCTGCATAGAGGGGTCCAAAGTTCAAGAAGCACTACCTTTATGCTTTCAAGCTGCATAAATTATGCATCTAATCTTCTGAAAACCCAGGACAGTAGAATCACTCACAAACTTGCCACATTTTTAAAGGCAAAAACCTAGAGGTACTTTTTAAAGAGGCAAGATTTAATTTTTTAGCTACAAGTTTTTGGAAAATGCTGAATGAAAATGTATTTTTTTTACACAAAGTTTTAAATTAATAAGACATGTCTAACATACAGCATTGATAATTAGAATGACACCCCAAAAAACATTCTTCTACCTCGTATGTGAGACCTTTTCAGAGCCTAGCTTTTTTTCAGAGCCTAAAAAGACCCAAAATCTATGGAGCGCGTTCAGGCTTGTGAGGGGCATAAATTCTGCATCTAATTTCCTAACTATCTATCATATATTTGGAGGCCCTGGAGCACCAGGACAGCATAAACACCCAAAAAATTACTACATTTTGTAAAGCATACACCAAAAAATATTTTTAAGAGTCACATTGAGTCTTTTGAATATTTTTTTTTTTGGAAATTTAAGAAAAAAAATATTGACACAAAGTTGTCAATTAATAAAATACTCCTAACATGTAGTGTGGTATTTTTCTACTGCTCCCAAGTATAGGAGTACCACAAATGTAAAACTGTTTCACAGCCTAGTCAGTCAGTGGTGCTCCAGATGAGCAAAGACAAGGAGAATCAAGACAGATCCTTCAAAGAGTAGTATTCAGTTGTGCATATGCGAAAAGTATGACAAAAGAGTAGTAAATGTATACTCACATTCACAATGTTGGATACCTCTCTTAGGTTCAAGCAACCTGTTTTTAGCACCTGTATTGAGTATGACTGTTTCCATGCATAGTGTAGGTGATCACACTTGGATGTTGTTGGAGTTTTCTGGAAATTCTTGCAATGTGCTAGGTTGCGATCAGATCCAATGAACAAAGATGAATGGATGAGGCCCCAAAATGGAACCAATGTGATCATTAGAGGTGCCATGAAATAACAAATACGCCAATTCCAAGTGCATTCTTCAAAGGTCAATACAGGTTAAACACCATCAACACATTTTGTGGCTCTTTAGTGACCACTGCATCAGGGAAAAGTGCACAGCACTCTGGGTAAAATCCATTAAAATATGACAAAAACAGTTTCAATGTAAGTTCAAAGGGTGAAAAATATATACAATAAAGATATAAATGTAATTTATAAAGTGATTAAAGGTCCTTTAGTTATAGTGATTATATGTAACATTAAAAAAAAAATCAAAGTTAAAGTGGAGTTCCAGCTGAAAAAAAAAAAGTCAGCAGCTACAAAAACTGTAGCTGTTGACTTTTAAAATACAGCCACTTACCTGTCCCTTGGTCCGGCAGTGTCCTCGTCACCGCTGATTTCACCTGCCGTCTTCTCTCCCTGGTGCCGGCAACTTTAGCGTGGGCACCCGGCTGTGACAGCTTGCAGCTTCACAGCTGGGTGTGCGTGCACAAGAAGCGCTGCACTTTGTAAATGTTCCCGTAGTCTTCTGGTACCTGTCACGTATCCCAGAAGACTATGGGGAGGGAGGACAACTTCCACTTCCGATCACCTAGGCAATCGCAGCGGAAGTGGGAGCGGGTACCTGTCAAACTCTCCCCCACTCTCCAAAGGTGCCAATCCTTAATGGGGAGTGGGGGACAAACCATTAAAGCGGAACTTCACCTTTTGGGTGGAACTCCGCTTTAAGAAGTTTAATGGATGGATGTATATTAAGCTATGCATAAAGAGATGGTTTTCAGTATAATCATTTTTTGGTGATGGCTGTATGGGCATAACCTCATATGAAGCATACCAGTAAATGATTGAGTTTTAATTTTGTGTGATGTAGATTGCTAATGGTAATAAATAATTCCAAGCCCCCTCAAGAACAGTAAGGCTGTAGCACAGGGCTTGAAATTTCCACTCATCTGCTCACCAAATGCGAGGAGAAATCTCTTTGTGGCGAGCACAGATGGAGCGGGTGGCTTGCAATGCGATCCCCAGGCCACAGGGATCGATTTGCATTCAACGTGCGCTCCAAGCCTCGTTGTGTAGCCGACTTCCGGTTTCCGACTTCTGGTTTCCGACTTCTGGTTTCTTCTTCGCATGTAGTCCATAAACAGTGCCTGGATCAGTGGTTTACGGAGCAGCTGACCTAGATAGGGTGAGAGATGTCAGTCAGTGACCGTGATTTCAGACAGCTGGGTAGTGGGGCACAATTGTATACCCAGCCAACAGGCAAGAAAAGGGAACAGTTACAACATGTGATGAAAGCAAAAGAGAAGTTCCAAAATCAGGCAATGTATGTGGAAGGTGGGACATATGTAGTGGTGTATACAGTGTTGGTACAGCACCTAACCATGTGAGTGGTATTATTTTACCTTTTTTTATTAAATATTTTTATTTTGTCTTTTTGGCATTCCTGGGAAATATGGAGATATCTATGAAGATGGAGCAAAGAGTTCTTTCTGATGTGTGTGTATATACAGTGTAAATATATATATATATATATATATATGTATATATATATAAATGCAAAATGTTTACTATTATTTATTTTATGCAATGTTTTTTGGCCATCAAAAGAGGCACTTTTTTTCTTTTTCTTAATGCCACACTTCTCTAAGGTCTCTGCTGGAGATAAAAAATACAACATATTTACAGTAACTACTATTCCATGTTTTTTTCATCAAAATAAGCACTTTTTTCTTATGCTATACTTCTGTAAACTAAATTTACATCTTTTAAAAGAGACTTTAGTTACTATAGTGTCTTTTTAAAGATGCAGGAGATAAACAAAAAAATGATTTTTTTTTTCAGCTCAATGGTATTGCTTTCCAGTAAGTTCAGTCCACTCTAGAAGTGCTGTTTAAGGACTTGTTGGATCACATTTATTAAATAGAAAACAGAAACGTTCCTACAGGAAATCAGTTTCTCACACAGGAGTTTCCACTATCAACACAACAATTCTGCTCTCATACACACACACACAGTATCTACATAAAGTGAATACTCCTAGCCCTGCAACATATTCCACTGGCACAATATAAACTATGACATTTCATATCCAGAATCAAATTTATCAGTATTATAGTATACTACAAGAAATATACAAATCATCACTATGATTTTTCACACATTTTGTCACAGTAGGTATCAAATAGATATACTGTAGATAGAGTGATGG